CACCGCCCTGTTGTGGAGCAAACGGTGGAGATCGGTGGAATCCACCGTTGAAGTTTAAGTTGATCTCACCCTCGACCGGCACAAAGTACAAAGCAGAAATTCATGACTGTTGTCGATCTCACCTGATATCGACTCATTCCTGTACTTCCAAGATTTAGTGGCCGCAACATCTACACCTCAAATCACTTAAAATCCGTCGGTGGCACTAGCGAAAAATAACTGTGATAAATCGATTTTCTTTTTTCACAGAAAGTGACTTAATATTTCCATTCCGTTGTCGGCGCTACCACTTGTTGACGATAACAATCAGTTAAACCTAAACAAAACTCGGTATTCACTGTGCCACAGTTCTGATTCCGAAGTGGAGGTGGCCTCGTAACTGTGAGACAACGATCTTTTTATCATCCTTATAAGTTGGCAGTATATTAAAACAGTTGTGATACAGTGTTGTTCTTACTCAAGACTGTCACTTTCTCCTTCCTGTGCTATGCACTCCATCCATATATGCAATTGCTGACATAGACCACAAAGGGATGGTCTTACATTTTGCAGAGATAGGCTAGCAAATAAAGGAAACAGCTTGTAGCTGTGAGGTTCGAGTAGACAGTAAATTCCTATATTCGGAGGGCGATATGGCTTATTGGATTGGAGATCAGAACTTATCAGTCTGACAAAAAAGTAGAAACAAATGCCAAGTACATTAGCTTATGTAGGGGAATGCTAAAGCGTTTACGGTTTAGAAATTGTCTGCAAATGCCTAGTGACATCGATGGGGTGAGGCGTGCCTACGTATTATAAAGCAAGAGAGGCAAACAAACTCGCCTTCCATTTCGCCGCTGGTAACATTCAATTCCTCTGACAAGAGCTCTAGCCGCATGAGAATGCTGTGAGTCAGATCATTACGGAATGCCTGAAAACAAAAAAACAGATGAATTCACAGCGCGAATACGTAAAAGGAAGGGATACGAGGAGATAAGTTAGATAACTTTCACATTTCATGACTCGAACTCGAAAGTTAAAGCCTTAAACAGCAATGGATCAAAAACACGAGTATACAAAATAAGACCTGAGTTTTTCTAAAAGCTCCGGGCCGCTGGTAGATAACTGAAACACTAAAGAAAAGCAGGGGTGCGGCTAAACGTTAAGATTCAACAAGTAATTTCAATGCCACTTAGGAAACACTAAAAAAGAATGAAAGGATAGCTCACTCCAGGATAAAATCCGCTTCTGGTGGCGGCCAGATATCATGAAACTCTCTTAAATGCATTCAGAAGGCCGTAAATGCTCATGGAGCAACCCAGAAGGTAAATGCACTTAATGCGGTAATTAAATATTGACAGGGGATTGATACCAATTCCTGAGTCAATAAGAACATTGTTAAAAGCCAACTGTGGCAAGGGTGACTCATGCTGGCAGAAAATAATTATTTCCAAACGGTGTCGAACCGCTGATTCAGCCATTTCGCGTCGTGTGATCTACAGCTGGGGTGTGGGCGATGGGCAAATATATTAACAGTCTAAATTACAGAATATACCAAATTAGTTTATTACAAAGGTGTTGTTAGCAAAACAATGGGGAAGATGTAGGTGGAAGGGGAATTGAACGAGTTGGCATTATTACAACCGCCGAACAGGCCGCGGACCACCAGAGATTCTAAAAGAAACCAGCTCTGTCCACCCAGCTGGCGAGCGCCAAGTTAGCCGATGCACAAACTGAGGACAGCCAGAAAGATGTCACCGCGCGGAGCATTTAAGGCCAAGGACGCCAAGTAAGGGCATTGGTTACGCGGCTTAGGCGGACAAAGAACCCACAAACGCTTCCATCTTCGCCCAGCACAATCGCCGAGTAAGTAAGGACCTGTCAATCCCCACTCACGATAAAGAGCCTTAGTAGTAAACACGGCGATTTAAGTTATTATCTCATGCCGGATTTGGTAAGTGGGATTAACTCGGTTATGCAAAAATATATCTATGGGGCGTTTGAATTTCTCACTAAATTGTTGCAATGAGGGAAATGAACTTCAAAAACAAATCAGGCAGACAAACAGGGGAGGCGGCTCCTCGCTTCGTAAATGTATTTGTACTAAGTGGAAGCGACAACACCGCTACCTATTACTGGGCGATATATCGAGAAGTTCTGATCTATTTCATGAACTGAAACAGAGCCCGTTTTCCCCAACTTCTTCCCACTCACAATCATATAAGCTGACGTGCATGATCTGTACCTTGGAGGGAAAATTCGCACATGAAAAATATAAACCATGCATGGAGGTGGAAAGTTGAGTGAAATGAAATCGCGAAGTACCTGTAAAGCATCTTCAACAAAGGTTCCATTGATTGGCAAGAAGGCTATGCCGGGGATTCTGCCATGAATCAGGAGGTTTTTCCTGGAATTAGAGGGTACCAGAGGACAACCTGAGTCTGCAGAAAAGGCTTCTGAACTGGCCCCAGAGTCAATGGATGAACAGGAACTTGTTCGGTGCCAACATGGGAACTGGAGAGAAAAGAGCATACTGAAATAATACTGCATATGCCAGAAATACAATGAAGACAGCAGTATACTTAAAACGAGAACCTACAAATTAAGGGCACATAGCCTCACTTCACATTCAACAAGTAATAGAGGCAACACTTAGTGCGTTCGCTACTAAAAAAGCATCCGGCCTTCGGGAAGTTGGCGCACACTTCAACTAAGGTGTGGTGCAGCCTGAAGTTCTTAGTAGCTGTGGGAGTTGCCTTAAAAACTTAATCGAGGACAAAGTTGAGCAAGGTGGCTTTAGGAACGCGGTCTTATCGCAATCCCTGTAATAAAAAGGACCTTGAGATGAATATGTAATTAGACACAGGAGATCTTGCTTCAGTGATGTGCTTTGATCGGGTAAGGCGCCCTGACGCATGCTTTCAACTGCGAGAATTTGCCACAGTGCCGAACGAAATAAGTCAACTAATTACAGCCAGGTAACAATTACTATGCTCCAAAATAGAGTTAAGCGTAAGGATTCGACATATGCAGTTCTACTGAAATCAATAGATTGATTTGAACTATTGAAATATACCTCACTTGAGTACATTGAACAGGAATTCGCGGTCTTCATTTATTTGTCCAACGATAATAATACGAGTTTTCTCACATGCCTGTCATCTTTAATGTGCACAGCCGCCTGAAAAATGTGGTTTAGCCTCCCCGCCGTTTGAATGGCGTTCATGTATACGAGTCGATACAGATTACCCAGCTTCGCCACAACAGATTGCATCAAAGCTGGCCCCTGGGATTTAGGAGACTTCTTTATTGAAGTATTCATGCCTAGTCTAAGGAGGTATAAATTGTGTGCGAAAATTTATTGTGAGTTGGTGCACTACCGACATCTGGCGCTCGTTTTCAGTTGCATTTCGACAAGCTCAGATACATTGTTTCAGGTAATAAAGGGTTCGCTAGGGGACCGTGGTTTGAAATACCGTTTTGCGTAGAATTGTTGATGCGCCATGCAGTGAAATACGAAATAGACAGATAAACACTTCAAGATAATAATCTTCGAAGGTAATTCATTTCTGCCCGATAACTTTCGACGTCGGAGCAGTGATTCGTGGCTCGAGTTAACAGCGTGTAATTGGATCTTAGTTTTCCAAAGAGAGTATAACCAGTCTCTTAATGTTGGAGTACCGCTGAATAGTTATTTGCAACACACCGGTGAACAAAGTGATCAATTTGTCCTTTGATGTGCAAGGACATCTGGTAATTAATTGCTTGAATTGTGGAGTTAACTATCGTATGAGGCATATTTAACTGACCTTTCTTTATTATATCAAATTCACCACCTACAAAACACAACCATAGTTTCATGTTAATCAGAATATGGGTTGCAGCTTCTAGTTTCTGGATTATGGCTGGCGATAAAAAAATAGGGATATAGATGAAATAGAGGGGATTTCTCGGTGCAGCCATTCGTAAATCCAACAAATCGAGATTATATCGGTTACAACTCGGAATCTTATTACTTCTAGAAACCGTGTTGACGTTTAATGAAGATCGCGGAGTTCTTTGCCAATTTGAACTCTTGTTCGGTGCACCGAGTAGGAACACCCCAAAAGTGTGTTTTCCTTATTTGCAGAACGCATTCCGGAAAAAGGGTCCTCTCTTAATCTACAGGCATTATTTACTTGTTCTGTCAAAGCTTGTTTTCTAACTGCTATCCGTTCAGGTTAACACACTGGCGATAACGTAACGTAATCGAATTAAACAAAATAAGCGGAAGTTTGTAAGCTTTTTGTCTAATGGCTACCCTAAATTCAGCGATTACCGGCAAGTACTGTAGTTTCATTCAATCATCCCAGAAGAGATATCTATAGGTGTGAACATTGGTTAAAATGGAGAGTATTCTACGCAACCCTTTCGTCCAATCTACCTACTAGGCAAGTCACATCACGGTAGGATCTCATATCAGAACCAACCACTACATAACATAAAAAATGACGTGGAAAACTTACGTCAGGACCAAAAAGGGTGAATTCTAGAGGCTCCCAGAGGGTAGAAAGGCAAGTCTCTTGTCGAACTTGAACAAATTTCTCCTTCGGAAGAGTATGTCGCTTTTGGGTGCGGCCTTTGGCTTGCGACCCCGACTTATTTGAATCCTTGCCCTTTACTGAAAACAAAGGCTCATCGGGACCTCGCAAGGCATTGTTGACTAGTAAGCGCGTCTCGTTGTTAATTGCATGTAAGTAGGGGTCTGCTGCCTTCTATAAGCGTTGACAAAAGGAAAAAGTTCAAAGAGGTGCCTCCAGTCGTTGAGAAATATACAGCAATTACAGCGCGCAGAAACTTTGGCTAATGGTATAAAAACCACATTGTCTTTTGTTAGCGCAAAGTCCTAACTTCCAAGAGAAAGCCACAAGGCCGTTGAAGTTTCGTAAAACACAGGAGCAAATGGATTTAAAGCGTAAAAATGAAGAGCACAACTGAGAAACAGCAGCTTCCACTGGTTGGTGGGAGTGTGTAGTTTGAACAACGCTAGACTAGCGATGTCCTTTCAATATTTCCTTTTAGTGACAAGCGAATTTTGCGCCTTTCTTATGATGAAATGACTTGGCGACTTTTCCAGTCGACTCTTTAAAGAGAAAGCAATCTTATTTCAAACCCTTTTGAAAAAACTACATTCGGTCGGGCACAGACCAAGAACAGGAAAAGGCTTAAGGATCCTTTTAATAAAAGCATAAAAACGTTTGACAAACTAATTAATATGGTACTCAGCGTTCCGCAGGCCAATAGAGAACAGGTTAGAAAGTAGCAATAATAGCACGCAGAAATGTGCAATGCATACATACCTTTAGTTGTTCCATGATTGTCTCCTGCTGTCTCTCAGAGGGCAAGTTAGTCTCAATGGAGAGGGTAATGTATGTTTTTATTGCTCGCCATCGATCGATGATTGGCTTTACTTTAACATCAACGGGTCGAAAGAAATCCTAAATGCCGAAAAGCTCGGAGGAAACACCCTTACCTTAGTCTGAGAAAATCCAATTGCTTTGGCAGTGATTCTTGAGAGATATTATTTAGGACAAAATAGAACTACTTTTTAGTTTTAGACTCCACTTGAAGATATACTTTTTCGGCGTCCAGGCAGGGTGGTCCAAAAGGATTGTGTTTGTCGCAGTCCCGAAGTATTTTTAGAAGCTAGGACAAATAAGCCTCCCTTGGTACTAACCTTTTTTATGTAATTTTCGCTTTGTGATTTACCATCAGCAGTGCCGGAGAAGTAGAGACCAGAAATGTGAATACCAGCAGGCAGCATTCGTGAGATCTTTTTGCATTGATCACGAAGTTTATCAGCGTCAATAGTATCAATACTTTTATTCGCAGTCAACTCGGTGCATTCTTGTCCCGTTGCGGTAAGAAGAAAGAATATGCACTCCTCATCTTTATTAAGCTAAGGAAGTGAATAAATTAATGCAATAACTTACGCCTCCAAGGATTATTCCAGGGCAAGGCGATGGTTGCGAACAGCACCTATCGTAAAACTTCTGTTCGATTGATATGGATTTGATCATCACAACTGTTGTCAAATATGCTTGTTTTAATCCACAAAACCTGCAGAGAAAGTAGGCAAACAAATATGAGAAAAAAACGACCGGAATGAATAACTACCGCCAACAGCGGCACGATTGTACAGGTACTTTAGGAAGCAAATCAGGTAGAAATGCATAATTTCCCCTCTCGGTTAACAAGTAGCCTTCATGAATATGGCCAGATTTCAGAGCGAACGAAATGGCTCCAGCACGTAACCTAGGCACGATTTTAACAATTCATCCTCAGGACTGCTTTTGAATTGCGAAAATTCCTAATAAAGGATGCATTCTGAGTTGAGATCCAGGTATTGAATACGAAAATGGGATTAAAAATTGGATGGAAAGAAATAGCTCCGGATTTTAGCAAAAGCAAATTCATAAAGATTTTTAATCTATGAACCAGAAGTTGAGGACGAAAGGCATATCGAAAAATTATCATCAAGGTGATGAATACCCAGAGAGCTTGGTTATAAGCATACATTTTCGTTTTATGTGTCACGAATCGAAGTAAAAGTAGCTTTAGGCTGGTCAAATTTTCAAGAGCCGGGCAGCTTTTTGTTCACTGTCATAACCTTTATTGCTGTGTAATTATTTGTCCTTGATGCAGCTGTAATTATGTCTGATCTAGCCGGCCTCAATGATGGCATGGGCTGTAACTCCCCACATATGACGATTAGCGGCAGCGGATTTGGACAGCTCCATCCATTCTCTTATCCCGCGACGTAAACAGAATACCGATGGTCCAAGAACTACTTTGTCTTGACAAACTGTCGAGTCAAGTCTTAAGCTGCCCTCCTCTTAGACGCCTCCAGGTCGGCTGCGGCGCCAGATTGAGGGCAGCATAACAAAGCTCATTAGGCAGACGAAGGAGAACGTGTCCTAACTACCTCGGTCGTCTTTCTTGGGTGGCGTGAGATATCCTCGCGATACTGTCGCAGCGAGTGCGGACTGTCTCATTTGAGACGAAGACGGTATACTTCACTCGGAGGATGGTCCGCAGGCAGCGGTGATCAAATAGCCCCAGTCTTTGCTTATCTTCAACGCGCAAAGCCCAGCATTCACAACTATAAAGGATGGTTGACTGGACGGATGCGCGGCACACACGGATGTTGGTGGAGTCGGATCCATAGGCGCTTTTGGAGGATTGAGAAAACCCTGCTGGCAATATCAATTAGGGGGACAAGGTCATCCTTACTCTGTCCATTGGCTGACAGCCTCGCCCTGGGGTACTTGAAACTATATACTTCTTCAAATTGACGTCCATTAATTTCTAGGGGTGCCTTCTGGTCAGGGGTACAGCTAGAAAATCATTTCATCTGCCCAGCATTTATGGATAAGCCAACCGAAGTAGCGATATCATCTACCCGTAACGTCAGAGTCTGCAGATCACCAAAGCTTGAGGGTAGCAAGGCAATATCACTAGCGTGGTTGAGGCCAGTCAGCCGGCGTCCGGGTGCAAACTCCACACCGTCAAAATCGTTTAGGACTCTTCTGAGAAGACAGTTAATGGCGTAGTTGAACA